GCTACTCCAGGCACACCCTAACGGACAGCACATGTGGCAGCAACTTGTGTTCTTCATGGAGAACTGAATGACACACAGGGATCTCTAGAGTCTTTTTTTCTTTTGCGGTTCAACATTTAAGAAAGATTTATTGATCTTCCTCCTCTCTAAATCTGTCTTTCCAATAAAATAATCTTTTCTGTTATATTTTTATTTTGAATTTTTGAATTTTGTGGTACAATTTTATATAGACTGGGATTCCTCCCAAAACTCCTTGACAGATTTTTCCCATGTTGCTACAATAGTATAGTCCTTCATAAGGAGTCATAATTCCATCAGTCTCTTATTTAAGTGTGCTCCAATATTGATGGCACAATGTCAGGCAGTCCAGCATCTCATGATCTACACATTTCCAACAATTTCATTGGGAGTCCATCTTTTGTTTGGAAGCAGGGATGCATGTAGCATTGTACCCCAACTCTGGATATGGTAGACCCCAGTACTCTATCCCTGTACATTTCCATAATTGAGAAGCCATGAAACAAGATCAACAACTGGTATAAATTAGAACAACAACAACAACAACAACAAATTACAGTACCATGAAAAAACGCACCACTGAGTAACCAACACATGGGTGACAAAAAGGAAACACAAAATGATGCCATCGTGTAATCTGTGAGCCAGCGATGAATTCGACAAGAGAAAAGAAAATATATAAATAAACAAAACTGAAGTAAAAAACATCAAAACACATGGGACACAGCAAAAAACAAAACAAAACAAAACAAAAACCCCCCAAAACAGTATGGATTAGACTATTGAACTTACACTTTCCATGATGGTTTCCTTATATTAGAGAGAACATCTGGTATTTGCTCTTTTGTGATTGATTAATGTCACTGAGCATAATGTTCTCTAGTTGGGATCACCTATTTGCAAATGGCATGACTTCAATCTTATTAATAGCTGAATAATATTCCATGGAGTAGATGTACCACGGTTTCTTTAACCACTCTTCTTTAGATACACAGCTGGATTGCCTCCATGTCTTTGTTATTGTAGATTGTGCTGCTGCAAATATAGGATTACAGATCCCCTTCTCATATGCAGATTTCATTTCTAGAGTCTTGGCATGAGTCTTGGAGTCAGCACAGACATCTAGTTCTCTTTCAGGCCTTATCGGTGACCAGAGGTTATAGAAATAAGCTGATTTTGCTACACTACTTATTTATTTTAATTGGAAAAAGAGATTTACAGAGGAAAGGAGAAACACAGAGAAATCTCTTTCATCCACTGGCTCAATCCTAATGTCCAGAGCTGAGCCAAAGCCAGGGGCTCTGTCTAGGACTCCCACATGAGTGGAGTGTTTCAAAGTTTTGGGCCATCCTCTGCTGCTTTTCCAGGCCAAGACATGAACCACATAGGATCCTGGCACTTAACAAGGAGAGGATTAGTCAATTGAACCATCATACTGGACCCTGCACGATTTACTTTTAAATTAACTAATTATTTATTTGGAAATCAGAGATGAAGTGGCATAGATCTTTTGTTATCTGTTGGTCCACTCTCTAGATGCCTGCAACTGGCAGGACTAGACCAGGCTGAAGCAAGGAGTCCAGAACTCAGTCTTCCATAAGGGACACAGAGCCCCAAATGGCATATTAACTGATAAAACAAATGCTTGCTCCGGTTCCACTGTTTCTTGAACTTTCATTATGATCAAGTTAGTAATAATATAGACAGAGACTTACAGCCATGAAATTAAAACATCCCAGCCCAAGAAGATGCCTGTAGTTTTTAAAAAATTATTTGTTTTGAAAATCAAAAGTTACAAGGAGAGAGAGAGAGAGAGAGAGAGAGAGAAAAGGGAGAGAGAGAGAAAACAAGTTTCCAACTGATGGCTCACTCCCCCGATAGTTGCAACAGCTAGGGCTGTGTTAGGCTAGAACCAAGCACCAAGAGCTTCATCTGGTTCTCACAGATGGGTGCTGGAGTGCAGGTATTTAGGCCATTTCTGCTACTTTCCCAGGCCATTAGCAAGGAGTTGGATCAGAAGTGGAGAACTAAAACTCAAACTGATGTACACATAAACTGTAAGCTGCTGGAGTCCTAGATGATGGCTTTATCCACTACGCCACAACACCGGCTCTGATGTTGCAGTTATCTGAAGTGACTGGTGCTATCATGGGAATGAGGTTCTTTCCACATGAGCCCCTATTGTGTGTCTCAGCACTTTGCAAGAGCTCCAGAATTAGAATTAGGTAGGATGAAGGATGATATCAACAGAAATGTGTCCTTTCAGAATTTAATAAATAAAATGAAATTAGGTCATAAATTTTGAAGCCTAATCTTGATAGAACTGATGTCCTTATATATATATAAAACCGTGGATCTTGTCTCCCACTGCTTCACCATGTGGGGATCTAACCATCTATGAACCAGGAAGAGAGCCCTAGCCAGAATTTGATCTCAGACTTTCTTCTAACATTCAGAACTGGAAGAGAATACATTTTTGTTTTTTAGCCCATCTAGTTGAGGATTTTTTGTGATAATCTGAGCTGATTAATACATAAGCCAACTCTAAGAAAATATTGTTTCTAGTAGTTGAGGAATAAGAGCTTAAAATAGAAGTCAGGTTCAGCTATGAAAAATGGATTTGCAGAACTCTGAAGGCAATGGAGTTTTGTGATAAAGAAAATGAGGGATAGGAACTACTTATCGAACATGGACTAGTAAGATTTTAGAACTAGGAATTTAATTTAATTTGTGCCCAAAGATAAGCAGGAAACATCCATGGAAGGAGCCAAGGAGGGAATTTTCAGGCAGGGGCACTCTCTGTACAATGACCATAAGTCAGGAAAGCACTTTGTATTGTCTGGTACTGGGAGAAAACTTGTGGGTCAGCATAAAGTGAGTAGAAGCAGGAGAGGTAGAGATGTAAGGGAACAATGCAAAGGCCAGTCCTGAAGAGCCCTATTTAAAAATGCTTACTGTGTGTAAAGCCCAGTGAGTTAGATTCGGGTGAGGGAAATGGTGTGGGTTGGGTAAATCAGATTCCAGCGTGGGTCTGACTTTAGGAACAGGAACTGAAAAGGGAGTAGGTAGAAAAGGAGGGAAGCTTTAGGGGACTCATGGACCAGGAGTGAGGATAAGTAACTCTCCTTTGGAAGAACCGTAGGAAGGGAGAATTCAAGGTTCAGGTTATTGGAAGGAGGTTTTCGTTTGTTTGTTTTCTTACACTGCTGCAAATTATATGTCAAAAATAGGAAAAAGAGAAAGGTTGAGTTGGCCAATGTGGGGATGAGCAGAGTGATCAATGAGAAATATGGGTCTGGGGATAATGAGTGAGTAGAGGGTTCACATTAGTCTCTGCTGACAATACGCAAAGTTAGGCAGAATGGTCCGAAGCATTTGCCTGGAGATGTAACAGGACTGGACAAGGCAGATGTTCTGGGTAGGTGGGTACAGAGGCACCAATAAGCTCTATGTATTAGGATGAATAAGTTCAGTGAGAACAGAATGTTGGCTATGGCTGAAGAGGTCTATGGAGAGGTGAGTCTTGTGGTTAAAGTGTGATGAAGTCTTGTTTGTCTCTCTCCCAAGATAGAGTGTAATAGATTTTGAAATTTCAGGATGTTATATGATTTCATTCTGAAGCTGATAAGCACCTTACTTGGTTCCAACAGTAAGGAGCAAGTAGAGGGGAGGTGGTGACAGTGTTTTTATATTGGTGGCCAGTGCAGTGGCGTAGCATGAAAAGCCATCACTGGTAATCCACATGGACCCTGGCTTGAGTCACAACTGTTCCACTTCTGATCAAGCTAATGCATCCAGGATGGCCCAAGTGCTAGAGTCCTTGAACCCATGTGGGAGACCTGGAAGAAATTCCTGACTCATGGCTTTGGTCTTGCTCAGCCCATCATTTGTGTCTTTTGGGGAATGAATCAACAGAGGGAAGATTGATCAATCCCTAGCTCTCTCTGCCTTTCCTCTCTGTAACTCTGCCTTTCAAATAAATAAAGAAATCATTTTTAGTTTTAAAAAATGATTATATTTTAATTTGAAAAGGGGAGAGAGAAAGAGAGAGAGAAAGACAGAGATATCCTCCATCTGTTGGTTCCCAAAGGGCTGCAATAGCCAAAGCTGAGCTGATCCGAAGGCAGGTGTCAGGAGTCTCTTCCAAGTCTTCCATTTTGGTGCAGGGACCTAAGGACTTGATCCATCCTTTGTTGCTTTATTAGTCCACATGTGAGAACCTGGAAGTGGAGCAGCTGGGACACAAACTGGTGCCCACCTGTGGAATCTTAGCCTACTACTGCACCGTGCTGGCCCCCACAAATAAATCTTTTTAGAACAATATTTTCATAATGCTTACAGGAAATTGATAAAGAGATGGGATTGAGGAGGAGGACTGAGTAGGGGAAACCTGGTATAATAAGTGAAGGTCCTGGACTTGGAGAGTGGCTGTGGGTGGACAGATGTTGAGAGACAAGGTGAGAAAAGAAGCAAGAGCATTCGATGGGGTGGATGTGCTGCTGGAAGAAAGAATCAGGGAAACTAGCAAACTTTCAGTCAGTCCCGACATGGTCTCTGCTTCCCACAGCTCCCTGATGGGGGCAAATTTCCTGTCAGTTGTCACTCCCTGATGGGGTCCTCTGGGTCATCTTGTCTCAGCCATCCTGAATTAATAGAACCAATTGTGATGCAGTCACTCATCAGCAAATATTATTGATGCTTTATCCCACACCCTTTGCTGGGCCCCGAGGAAACATTAACAAATCAAACATGAGTCTTGCTTGGCACTTTGTCTGCAGTTGGGTTCCTTAATGTCTGTGGATAATTCAGCTGCTGGAGTTAGTAGCAGGTTCATACCAAGTACTCACCTCAACAAATTGTTTCCCTTAACTAACAGCTAGTGATTCTTGCCTTTCCACTGAGTTACAGGAAAAAAATTGAGTGGAAGAGCCACAGACTCTGCAGTTCCAGGCTTGGTTGTGGCCCTCTGTGCTCCGAGGACCTCACTCAGGGGCTCTGCCCCAGCCAGTCGCTTTGAGGAAAGCTCTCTTCACATCCTTGTTTCTGAGGCTGTAGATGATGGGGTTGAGAAAGGCTGAGATCACATTGTAGAACAAAGCCAGTTTCTTGTCCCTCTCTGGAGAGGCATTGGCTCCAGGATTCATGTACATAAACATGGCAGGTCCACAGAACATGGTGACCACAGTGATGTGGGATGCACAGGTGGAGAAGGCCTTGAGTCGACCTTGGGCTGAGCGGATTTTCATAATGGCTGAAAAGATGCGGACATATGAGGCCAGAATGAAGGAAAGAGGCACCAAGAGAAGGATAAAGCCCAGGATGAAATCTACTCGGTCATTGAGAGATGTATCTGCACAGGCCAACTTCAGAACAGCGGGGACCTCACAGAAGAAATGATTGATCTCATTGGGGCCACAATAAGGAAGGCGCATGGTGAAGACCGTGTAGACTAGGGAACAGCTGACACCCCACAGTCCACAAAAGATAACCATTGCCCCACACAGCCATGGATTCATAATAAGCTTGTACCTTAGTGGGTAGCAGATAGCCACATACCTATCATAGGCCATGACAGAGAACAACCAGCCTTCAGTGATACCCAATACCAGGAAGATATACATCTGGGCCACACATCCAACATAGGAGATAGTTTTTTCCTGACAGACTAGATGCATTAACATTTGGGGCACAGTGGTGGTGACATAGCTCATATCCAGCATGGAAAGAACACTGAGGAAGAAGTACATGGGAGTGTGGAGGCGGGAGTCCAGGTGGATCAAGGTGACGATGAGCCCATTGCCCACAAGTGTAGAGAGGTAGAGGAAGAAGAAGATGTTGAAGAGGATTAGATTAATTTGGGGATCCCTGGAGAAACCCAGAAGAATGAACTCAGACACAGAGCTGTAGTTCTTCCAGGGGAAGTCCTGCATTCTCCTTTAGCTGCAGAAAGAGAGAAATGGACATTCTAGTGGCCAGGCTTCAAATGCATTTTCAGATATCAAGACCACTCAGTTCCTGGAAAATCCTGGGATTATTTGAATCCTGTTCATGATTTGTCACTACAGAGAACAAAGTCTACCTGGCATAAAAGTAAGTTTGGGTAGGGAAGGAAAATGGAAATATTTGGCTTCTTGGGCAAAACTGCTTTCTTGGAACTCTAAAGGTAACATTCCAACCTTCCATCAACCCAGCAAGGCCACCTGATTTCTGCCTTAGGAGCTGCCATCATGTCATATCTCAGGGCTCTTTTCCCTGAGCTTGTCTCTGGAGTCAGATGATGGATACCTGAAATACCTGAAACACCACTTCTTCTTCTCTGGAAACAAGGTTTCAGAACCACTTCTTACTTTTACTCACTATAGAGAAATAGGAGGAGTCTGCAATATGAGGGAAAATATATGGCTCCAAAATTATGTAAAGTTCTTAGAAAATTTTACATAGGCCCATGTTTCTTGGCTTTTTAAGGGTCTCTGAAAGTTTTCTTATGTATGATTTTTTAAAGATGTAGTTATTTTTATTAGAAATGCGGATATGCAGAGAAGAGGAGAGACAGAGAGGACGATCTGGTGTCCAATGATGGTTCACTCCCCAAGTGACCGCAACAGCCAGTGCTGCTCCGATCATAAGGAGTTCTTCCGAGTCTCCCACGTGGGTGCAGTGTCCCAAGGCTTTAGGACATCCTTGACTGCTTTCCCAGGCCACATGCAGGGAGCTGGATGGGAAGCAGGGCCTCTGGGATTAGAGCCAGTGGCCATATGGGATTCCGGCACTCGCAAGGCGAGGACTTTAACCACTATCCTATCGTGCCAGGCCCTCTTATGCATGATTTTATTCTAGGTCATGTTTCCCACTGATTCTAACTCTTTCTGAGTTTACCCACAGCAGAAGGAAGGGCTTTCTTGTATGATTCTATAACTGACTCCTCTTGCAGCAGAATGGTAGTTGTTTTCATCACCTAAAGTCATCTTTGAATCCCTTTGGTACCTTTGAATCCCTCCAGATTGATGGGGGTAATGATATGTATCCATTGCATTCTTGAGATTTCTGACTGGTAGGATGCCCACAGTATAGTTTATACACAGCATGGGCATTAGTCATAAAATATTCAAGAAGCACTGACTGAACATGTACTTATCAGACCTTGTTCTGGGATGAACACGAACAAGTGTAAGGTATATTCCTAATCCTCAAGGATCCTACAGCCTAGTTGGGGAAATCACAGAGTAGATGACAAAGTAATGTCCAATGTGATTGGCACTATCATGAAAATATGTGCAGTCACTCATAGCTCTGTACTAAGCACCATGGATGTAGACATAAAAATCTGTAGAGCACACAGTGAAGAAACAGATAAGCAATGGGAGGCAGCTAGGTAATGCATGCTATGACAGGAGTGAATTCCAGGTGTCACGAGGCTCCAAAAAAGGAGTAACGGTCATCCTTTCTGAGTCTGATTTCCCCAAGAACAGAATAACTGATATGAATAACATGGGGGGATCTGGAATTAGCCAAACAAGAACTCAGGGAAGAGTTTTGCTAACAGAAGAAGCATCAGATACAAAAACAAAACAAAAACAAAAACCTACAAATAAGGGAGAACTTTGTACAACCAGGAAACACAAAGAATAAAACATGAGAGCAACCTAGTCTGCACAGGGGTGGGAGGAATGAAAACCTTAGGATGATCTTTCTGAAAATCCTTCATGTGTCACAAAGATGACACTTGGGTGATCTCAAGAGGGGCAGTTGGGAAGAAAGCAAATTTCAGCTTAATAAATCAGTTTGCATTGATGAGGGCAGTCCACATATAGAGTCCTCTGTCCTGAAAGATAGTGAGCTTTCTGAACCTCACAAGAGAACTGAGCACAAACCAGACGACCGCATTGTATAGATGGTGGGGTAGGGAGGCCTCTGTTCCACTCAGATGGAAGAGTTGAGAAGCCGAGCTCCTCGCTCAACCCTTTGAGGGCCCCCACTCGGTCCTCTCTACCGTGCCCTCCTGGGCCTGGTCTGTGTTGTATCCAGACATTTTATGGTACCAAAAGACTGTGGCTTCCTGAAGGAGATGGAGTATGACCCACATGGTGATGATCTCCTCATAGAGCCTGACTCAGGATGAAGTGACTGGTGCATGCTCCACGTGGAATACCATCCCTCCTTCCTCTCGCTATACAGATTCACTTGGACCTGATGCTTGTGCCACAGTAGCAGTTTCTCAACAGGTAACCCCATTCACTCTGTTTTAAGCTGAGCAGAGTATGATGCTCAATGGAGAAATGGAGGAGCATATGTGGGGTGCGGGGAGAGAAGGGCTATGGATAACTGAATGGGCATCTGAAGGTCCGATTTATTTGACATTCTTTCCAACACCGTTAGCCTGGCCTGAGGCCATGGCAGAGAGGAATGTCAGGACTCATCATCCTATTGGCTACTTACTTCCCCTTCCGAGGCGAGGGTACTGTAACTCTTCCCAGTGTCAGTGTCTCACCCTAGCTTCCAACTCTCAAGCAGCTCTTTCCCAACCCCCATAACTAGTCATCCCTTCCTTTATCAGTGGTACTAATCCCTTGTCCTGAATCCTATGCCACAGATCCAAATCCTGATTAGTGGGACATTGTGGAGAGCCAATTTTCTCAGTTTCATAGCAACAGCCTTCACTTCCTTCCTCTTGTCTCTCACAAACTTAGGAACAGGTCCAAAAGGCAACGAGGGAGGGAGACTGAGAGAAACAGACAACTGTGCAAAGAGGAATCCATGAACTAAGAACCAAGGTCAGAGAGAAGAGCAAATGTAGGCCTGAAAGTCCTGGTGTGAATAGAAAGGAGTTGGAAGTAGGCAGGTGCCCAGTCAGAGACAGGAACAGGTGGGGAGCATCAGGCAGGGATGGCCCAGGTATGGAGACTGCATGGCTCAGGCCTACCGCTGTCCCTCCCCTTCTTACCTGGTGCAGGTTCTCCTTGAGGGATAAGTCAGGATCTTGCTGGGTCCTCTTTTATTGTTTTTCTTCCAATCCTCTGGTAGAGCATATCAGGCAGCTTCTTAATGAGTCTTCTGTGTCTTGGGATTCTCTAAACCCCACCAACGCCCTTCCAAGCACTGAGCATGTCTCTAACCCCCTCAGCTTGGCACCTGGGGCCTCCACACAGATGTCTCTTGACTCTTCCAACCTGATGCCCCTGCTCTCACCCCTCCTTATTATTCCACATCACAGTTCAGTGGAGGCAGATGTGTGAACATCAATTAGAGTAAGTCCATGTGTTGAGACATACAAGTGATGAATAGGGACCTTCCAAGAGGTGGAAGGTGAAGGCAGGGTTCCTTACCGCTCTCAAGAACCAAGTACCGCACTCCACACTTTCCATTATGTCCCGCTGTGTCCTGGCCTATGTTGTGTTCTGAAATCTTATGGTACCAAAAAAATGGTGAATTCTTTTTTTTATTCTAAAGATTTATTTACTTATATTGCAAAGTCAGTTATACGTAGAGTAGGAGAGAGAGAGAGGAAGATCTTCCATCCATTTCATTCCCCAAGTGGCCACAACAGCTGGAGCTGTGCCAAAGCCGGAGCCAGGAGCTTCTTCCAGGTCTCCCATGTGGGTGCGGGGTTCAAAGTCTTTGATCGTCTTTGACTGCTTTCCCAGCCACAAGCAGAGAGCTGGATGGGAAGCAGGCCTGCTGGGATTAGAACCGGTAGCCATATGGGATCCCAGTGTGTCCAAGGCTAGGACTTTAGTCACCAGGCTACCGCTCTGGGCCCAAGATGGTGAATTCTTAAGGAAAAGGAATATACTGGAAACAATGGTGACACTCTTCACAGAACCTGCCTCAAGATGAAACAACTGATCAATATCCACGAGGGAGCAAGCTGGTAGAACTGAGATCAACCTCTGCCTGGCACTTAGTAATGGTTGAATATTGGACAAGATACCTATCTCCCTGTACTTCAGTTTCCTAATCAGTAAAATGCCCCAATGATAGTATAGACTAGTTGTATGGATTAACTACAGTAAGATGGAAATCATATAGCAAGATTTACCTATGATTTATGCTTGATCTGACTCCCTATTGTGACATACATCAGATGATTGATCTGCTTGTCCTATCAACATTTTCAGAGTTAAACTTGGAGCAGGCCAGCACAACAAATTCTGATGTTCAATGGGGCAGGTACCTCATCGCTATGATTAGAGTTCACCCCAAGCAGACATGAGGGAGTTAGCCCTTGGATGATGTCACGTGGAACACCAGAAGTCACCTTCTACGACTGGAGATCATCGCCACTGGAGCAACATATTGGTACCACACAAGATGGCAAATAGTGTCATCTTATTTCAGACTCTGGCTGGCAGTGATTGCCTAGAGCCTGGGTTGTAACAAATTGTGCGCCACATCAAGACACTGAGGACGACTGCTGAGATTGATCAGGGCTCTCAACCTGGCAGACTACCGGGTGTGGATTAGAATCAGACAACTGGAACTCAAAGAATCTATGGTGTTGGTGCTGATTCCCCTCACATGGCCTGTTACAGACCTATTCAGATTTCTAATTCTTTCCAAGTCATTCCTGATAGTCTATGGAAATTTGTCTCTATATTCTATGTTGTTGGTTTGTTAATAGTACTTCTGTATTCATTTTTAAAATGTTCATTTATTTAAAAAGCAGAGTGACAGAGAAGAACGAACACACACACACACACCCCTTCAATTTTCTGTTTCACTCCCCCAAAGACCACCATGGCTGGGCTAGGCCAGAGTGAAACCAGAAGCCAGAAACCCCATATGGGTTTCCTGTGTGGTGGCAGGGGTTGAAACACCTAGACCATCTTCTGCTTTTCCGGGCACAGTAGCAAGGAGTAGAATCAGAAGTGGTATAGCTAGGACTTGAACCAGCATACCAACAATGGGATGCTGGCATCACAACTGGTAACTTAACCCACCGTGCGTGCCACATCACCAGTCCCGTATTAGGCTACTAACTTAAGAGCTTTCTTTTTTCTTTATATGAACATTTCCTTCTAGGCTGTCTTTAATGTATCCTGTTAGGGTTTGATATGCTGCGTCCTGCATTGTTGCTAAGATTCATTAATTAGCTCTAAGAGTTTTCATGTAGAATCTTTGTGGTTTTACTTTTAGTTTTGATTTTACATAGACAATTAGGTTACCTGCAAATATTGACAGTTTTACTTGTTTGTTTTGAGTCTTCTTTGTTGACTGGCTTACACTTTCAGTAACATTTGGAAATGAGCAGTAAGAACAAGCAGTGCTGTCTTAGGATTGGTTTTAGGGGAAAAGCACTTAGTGTTTTTACCAGTGTGTGTTATATAAGCTGAATGTTTTTGTAGATTTAAAAATCAGTGTGAAGAAGTTTCTTTCTGTTTTCAGTTTTCCGATTCCACGTATGTGTACCTGTGTTTGTTATGAAAGAATAGTCCAAACCACATGCATTTGAAATAATTTTGTGAGAGGTCTGATATGACAGCTAGTGGCTAAAATCCTCGCCTTGCATGTGCCAGGATCCCATATGGGTGACAGTTTGTGTCCCAGTTGCCATACTTCCCATCCAGCTCCCTGCTTGTGGGCTGGGAAAGCAGTAGAGGATGACCCAAAGCCTTGGGACCCTGCACTTGCATCGGAGACCCAGAAGAAGCTCCTGGATCCTGGCTTTGGATTGGCTCAGCTCTGACCATTGTGGCCACTTGAGGAGTGAACCATCATCGGACAGAAGATCTTCCTCTCTGTCTCTCTTTCTCTCTGCAAATCTGTTTTTCCAATAAAAAATCTTAAAAAAAAGAAAGAAAATATATGTATTAGCTTTTTTTCTTTCTCTCAAAGGGTCTCAAGACTAAGATGCAGACTGGATTCTTTAAAATCTTTTCCAGCCTGTCACTCTGTTTGTGAAGTTCTAGCTGATTGTTCAATTCAGGAGGTTGGAAAGCAGAAATTTTCATCTAGGTTGAACATGATTGGGGAACTTTTGAATAGCTCTATATGCAATGTTCGTGAATGAGTAAAGATGCAGATGAGAAGTGAAAGGAGAGGGAAGTTCAGGTGGAATAGCCTAGCTGCAGACCTGAAAAGTTAAGACCAGCCAGAGGAAGTGGAAATCTGGTGGGCCTGCTGACTGCTCTAACAAGGAAGCTTCACTGGTCCCAGCAGATTCTCCTTACGTGCCCCGCTAATGACTCCAGAGCAATTTTCCTAACAAGCCTCCCAAAACCCCATCAGAATGCCTTGCTGATCATTCTGTTTCTGTCTCCAGAAAATCAAGGTTGTTCTTTCCCCAGGGTTTGCCTCCTGAGAGGCTGTGGCCTCCAGGCAGTCCTCCTGGCATTGAGGACTCATTATTCTCGTCGCATTTCTAACAAACTCTTAACATTTACATCCCATTGCTGCTTGGGGAATGTCAAAGACTTTCTAGACTGGCAAACCCACCAAACTTAACTTTTGGAGAACATTATAACAAGCAAAGCACGTTATCAGCATTTATTTGTCTTCTATGTTTTCTTAACTTTTAGATGTTGTCTGGCTTACAGATAAATTTATTTCAAAGAACAACTAGAATATTTTATGAATTGAAACCTACAAGAAAGACATATAATAAAAACAGTTACCTTAAAAGATTAACCTTTTGCAATGTGATTTAATAGTTAACTGAAACTAGATGGGTAGAAATTTAATTTTCTTTGTTGACTGGCTATTGGTGTGTGTGTGTGTGTGTGTGTGTGTGTGTGTGAGAGAGAGAGAGAGAGAGAGAGAGAGAGAGAGAGAGAGAGGGAGAGCTGGGGCTCTCTGAGTATGTTATCACTTGTTACCATGAACATCAAATACCTATTTCCTGACTTTCCAAGGATTCTTAACATTAAAACAGATACATATAATCAATTATTATTAATCTAATGAAAAAGATAATCCAACTTTTAAATTTTATGATAAAGTTCCAAAGATTCTGGGATTTCCTCTACCCACTCCCTTAATCCCCTCCCCCACCCGCTGATACCTGCTACATGTTACAATAGTATTATTCTTCGTCAACAGTCATAAGTCCATAATTCTGCTGTTTAAGTATATCCTGACATTGCAGGCATGGAAAAAGGCAGAATCCACGATTGTCAAGATATATTTAACAGTTTCATTGGGAGCCCATCTTTGATCTGGAAGTAGAAATGTATAAAATTTAACTGTAGACTTGTGGGTGACACACTTGCAGACCTGCCCTAAGGAGAAGAATCTGCTAACCCGATGTACAATGATCAAAAGCAAAAGAAGAGACAGAGGCACAATGAATATGACCGAAGACTACCCTGCAAAGGAACAAGAGCCTTTGCCAACCTCAGGGTTCATAGCGGATAAAGAACTTTTAAAACTTGTTATAAAGCTTCTTATCAACAATGAGAAGCACATGCAAGAATTTAAGGAGTATATTACACAGAAAGTAGCAACACTGAAACAAAAAAAAGCCATGGTCCTAGTCCATTGCCTATTGAGTATCTTCACCCATTCTGATGAATTTGAGGAAAGCTTTCTTCACATCTTTGTTCCGGAGGCTGTAGATAATGGGGTTAAGAAAAGCAGAAATGACATTGTAGAACAGGGCCAACTTCTTGTCATCCTCTGGGGAGGCTTCAGAGCCAGGCCTCATATACATGATCATACATGGAATACAAAACATGGTGACCACAGTGATATGTGAAGCACAGGTGGAGAAGGCCTTGATCCGTCCTTGGGTGGAGCGAATCCTTAGAATAGCCATGAAGATGCGAATGTATGAGGCCAGGATGAGGGATAATGGGATAAGCAGCAATATGAAACCCAAGATGAAGTCTACTTGGTCATTAAGGGATGTGTCTGCACAAGCCAGCTTCAAGACAGCAGGAATTTCACAGAAGAAGTGGTTGATCTCATTGGGGCCACAGTAGGGAAGATTCATTGCAAAGACTGTGTAAACGAGGGCACAGATGAGACCGCAGAGGGCAGAGCTGACCACCAGTAGAACACACAGGGTTTGGCTCATCTTGACCCCATAGTGGAGTGGATAGCATATTGCAATGTATCTGTCGTAGGCCATGGCTGCAAAAATCCAGGTCTCAGTGATGCCCAAGGTCAGAAAAATGTACATCTGGATCACACACCCAATGTAAGAGATGGTCTTTCTTGTACTTACTAGATGAATCAGCATCTGGGGCACTGTGGTGGTGGCATAGCTGAGATCCAGGAGGGAGAGAATGCTGAGGAAGAAGTACATGGGTGTGTGGAGACATGCATCTATTCTGATTAGAGTGACAATGAGTCCGTTACCCAGGACTGTAAATGAGTAAATGAAGAGAAAGAGGAAGAAAAGGATCCAGTTGGTCTGGGGATTTCTGGAAAAGCCCAGTAGGATAAACTCAGTTACAGAGCTGTAATTTCTCCAGCCTTGTCTCTGCATGTTTCCTTCTGAGGAAAGAGGAAAACACAACATATTCCTGACTCCCTTGCAGTCTCAATGAGAATATGCAGTATCAAATCCCCAGATGTAGCCACCAAAACCCATACATGACCCTCTATGTACGAGGAGTGTCCTATCCAGATTAACCTAGTGTAACTCTAGGAACTTAATAGGAATTTTATAATTATTGGTTGTTTGTCAGTTGGTTTAACTAGCCCAGCGAAAATTCCCAGTGCTGTTGGTGAGAATAATACAGAAGAAAACATACATTTTGAAACATACACACACACACACACACACACACACCATAAACCAGTCAAAATGAGATATCTTAGAAAATGCAAAACATTGCACAGTAAACCAAAACATCCTTAACCTTGCTGTAGTTCCTATAATTGTTATTTTTAAATTTTGTTTATTTATTTATTTTTATTGGAACATTAGATATATAGAGAGGAGGACAGAGAGGAAGATCTTCATTCATTGATTCACTGAGCAGATCCAAAGCCAGGAAGAGCCTGGAGCTTCTTCTGGGTCTCCCATACGAGTACAGGGTGCCAAGGTTTCAGGTCATGCTCGACTGCTTTCCCAGGCCATAGACAGGGAGCTGGATAGGAAGCATGACTGCCAGAATACAAACTGGCACCCATATGGGACCCTGGTGCATCAAGGCGAGGACTTTAGCTGCTAAGCTACCACGCTGCAGCCCCTATAGTTTTAATTCTAAATATGAAGACACAATATGAAGGTGCTACAGGAGACTTTGTAAATGTAAAACAACCAAAAATCAGCTATTTTCTTTGCCTTGCTTATCTCTGATGCTGTATTTTTGAGAACCTACCCCCCAAAATTATGAAAAAAGAAAATTTCAGAAAATAACTTTTTCTGGGAGAAGGAGAGAATTTTTCACTAAAATACATTTTTTTCCTCTCACCTGCACCTTCCCAGCCCTACCTGCAGTAGTTACAATTGTAAAAGGTAAGTTGACATACAAAATGATGGCCTCAGAGACAAAATAATTGACACCTAGAGAAAATTGCTATTGCTCTAGCAGTTTTCAAAAAGATAGAACATATTTACCTGAAAATGAGGTGCCTGTGTCTCTGGAAAACTTTTCTTTAAAAATTAGTAAAGAGTTTTCCACCGCTCTGCTGTTCACATGAGAGCTGAATATTGGATGGTAGTGGATCTTCAGCTTAATCTGGACTCAGTCTTCCATCCCAGTTTGGAGGACCAGACAAGACAACACGTAACTGATCATACCTTTTCTCTTTCTTTATATCTTTTCTGGTTCTTAAATGATTAAGAGTGCCCATTGTTAGCGTGATGGTCTAGTGGCTAAAGTCCTCACCTTGAATGCACCAGGATCCCATATAGTACTAGTTCTAATCCCAGCAGCCCTGCTTCCCATCCAGCTCCCTACTTGTGACCTGGGAAAGCAGTCAAGGATGGCCCAAAGCTGTGGGACCCTGCACCAGTGTGGGAGACCTGGAGGAAATTCCTGGCTCCTGATTTCAGATTGGCGCGGCTCCAGCTGTTGCAGTCACTTGGGGAGTGAATTATTGGACGGAAAATCTTCCTCTCTGTCTCTCCTCTAGGTTTCTGACTTTGCAATAAAAATAAACAAATTTTTTTTAAAAAAAGAAGGCCTATTTTTATAAAATTGTCATTTTTATAAAGTAAGTTGTCCAATAACAGACAAATAGAAAATTAGAAAACAGGAATAAAACTTTCAGTCCAATGCTCTTTATCTTATTAAGCTGAAAGGTGTCTTTCATACTGTCAGATTTCATGTAGGGCTTAGTAGGATACAAATATAAATAAGCCTACTTTATTGGCCTGTGCATTCAAAAATTTTATTTAGTTTGTGAGAAGAGAGGAAAAGAAGGAAGAAGTTGGGGGGGGGGCGGGAGAGAAAGATTTCCCTACCTACTGGTTCATTCCCTAAATGTCCATGCTATCCAGAGTTGGTTCAGCGCAAATCCAGAAATTGTCACCTCAGACCTGGTCTCCCACCTGGAGAGAGCAGCCCAACTAATGAGTCACCACTTGTCTCACAGGGTGCACATCATCTTAACCATCACATCAAATACTTGCTCCTTCACAACTTCACAGAGCAGGAAATACATACTGCCCAACATTGTGAATTGTCAGTATTTCTCATAGAAAGCCCAAAACTTTCGATCAGAATTTCAGTTGACCATGTCATAGCAAATGAAGGAGTTAAAAATCTATGAATTTTGTTATCTATCAATTTGACTTAAAATACAGTCCATGAAGCCACAGACGTGCTTAGACTCAAAGGGTTGAGGAATATGATGTCATTGCTAAAGTTAAAGACAACATGCCATAGTGTAGGAATTAGTCATGTTTTAACTGGAATTCTCACTCTAAGTATATAACCCAGGTTTTAAGTACTAGCTATATATTAATTGCTTTGAACTGTGTCTCCATTCGGATTTCTTCTTTAAATTCACCTTTCTGGCTGCCTACTTGATCCCCATCTCCATTGGGTAATCTAATACAAAGTTCATCTTAACATTTCCAAAATCAAACTTCCAATTTCCTTCTTCAAGCCTGTTCCTCTCACAATGAACATCCATTTCTGTGGCTATTACCTTTGAGGTAGCTAAATTTTAAAAATAAATGCCATTCTAGAAATCTTAAAACTTTTCTCCTTTAGCCAACTCAACGGGAACAATACATTAGCAAATATTTTTCATTCTGTTTCAGATATACTCCAGAAAAGATCACTGCCCACCTGCTTCACTTTCACACTCATCCAAACCATCATCTCTCTAGGTAGAAATGTGGCAACATCTCCTACACAGTCCCATGGCTTCCACTTTCTTTCCCCCTTTTCTAAGCATAGACACTACAGTGATTCTGTTAAAATTGGGCCAGAACATATAAAACTTCTCATCAAAACCTTCTCTTTGCTCGCCGCACCTCAAGGGCTTCCGGTGTCATTCAAAGGAAAAGCCAAAGTCCTGATGTGGGTTTTCAAGCCTGCCATCACTGCCCTGATCTGCTTCCTTCTTTTCACCTCTTGCTTGGTTGACTCCATCCGTATCATCTGCTGTTGCTCCTCAGGCAAGGTATCCTTCCATGTCAGACCTTTTGCACTTCTTAGTTCCACTGCTGGAAGTTATCTTTCCTGATAATCTTAATGAGTCACACTCTCCTCTCCTTCAAGTATTTGCTTAATTGTTATCTTTTTAGGAAAGATGTGAGTCTTCCCTGACCTTTTTTGTTTGAAATGGGAAGATCCCCTATTCCCTATTGCTACCCCTATTTTATCTTTCCTCTTTGCAATGTACAGTTTAGTTTTAAAATATTTTAGTTTCTTCCAACAAGAATGCAGGGATGCTTCTGTTCTTGACTCATTGTGTATCATCAGATATAAAACTGCTCTCAGAATATATTGTATATAGGGCCTGGCACAGTGGCCTAGTGGCTAAAGTCCTCTCCTTGAATGCACCAGGATCCCATATGGGTGCCAGTTCTAATCCCAGCAGCTCTGCTTCCCATCCAGCTCCCTACTTGTGACCTGGGAAGGCAGTTGAGGATGGCCCAAAGCCGTGGGACCCTGCACTCATGTGGGAGACCTGGGGAAGTTCCTGGCTCCTGGCCTCAGATTGGCGCAGCTCCAGCTGTTGCAGTCACTTGGGGAGTGAATCATCGGACAGAAGATCTTCCTCTCTGTCTCTCCTTCTCTCTGTACACCTGACTTTGCAATAAAAAAAATAAATCTTTTTAAAAAGAGAGAAAGAATATGTTGAGTATTGACAAGTAAATGAACCATATTGGAGCTCTGACCCGTTAGGTAACAGCCACTGGTGTTGCTGGAGGAGGAGCTATCCTTGGTGCTGAATCAGTTGTGTCTAAGGCTGCTTTTGTCCTCTAGCAAGAGTTGAGAAATTGCGGCAGATGATGAGTGTCTCACAAAGTCTAAAATTCAGTTTTTAGCATCTGGTTCTTTACAAGAAAGGATTGTTGAGTGAAGCAAATAACAAGGGAACTCATTCACATCCTGTGTACTCTCACAAAGCTGTGGTCTGTGAGAGAGGGTGTGTCTGGGAGACTGAATGGATTTAAAGTAAAAATAAAGTATGTCTGAAATACAGCTGTGCCACTTATTAACAGCATAAATTGAAAAAATTCATTGACTTTATAAAACTTATACTTCATTATCAGTAAAAGTAAGCACACACACATGTTGAGGGGTTTTTGAAGATAAAATTAAATTTAGGTACCTAGTACTAGAGCAATAAACATGTTATTATTACTACTGCTAATAAGTTACTCCTCCAGTTGAAATGTTCTTCTCTCTCCTTTTAGGTGAATCCAGTCATTGAAGCCTTTGTGATTCCTGCCACACTTCATCAGGGCTCTGGTTTCACCTTGAGGAATTTCTAGCACTACCTACGCCTATTTGATACTCATTGATGAGTGGAGTTATTTAAAGATACAACACCATATCTTAACCTTTTTATTTCCACTTTCTAGTATAGGGAATGAATAGAGGTTAACCGACATTTGACTAATAACTCTATGGATTTGTTCCAATGATATAAGAGTGAATTAGCTATAAGAATGGACTCTCAAACCAAAGATGTCTCCAGGAATTTGTTTCAAAACTATGTCTCCTTTCTTGAAGATGTCTACCTAGTTTATCCAGTCATGATACAACCAAAATTCTCTTCTCAGAAATTGTTAACAGATGAACAAGTTAGGTGGAAAGCAGGAGAGACAAAAACAGGAACATAGAGACAGTCCTTGTATTTCTCATATGTACTCCTTTTCCAGTTTGTGTAGCTTGAAGTGGCATGAAAGAGAGTAATGGGGCAGGAGTAGAATCCATATTCATTGAATACTTAGTATGAGCCAGTTGCTTATGTCAGGATAACAGTTAAGAGCATGGACGCTAGAATCAGACCTGACTCTAATTCTAACTCCGTTGCTAACTAATAGAGTGACCTTGGGCAAGTTACCTAATA